CTTCGCTCTGCACTGAGTCTATCTGCAGTCACCTGTAGGCAGAAGCTACATGTCCGCTTGGCTCTGCGGCAAGCCTAGCTGCAGCCCCTTGTATGCAGMTGCATTCTGGGGGAGAGTTTGGATGCGATGGCAGTTCGAAAACCATCATGTCTGAGGATCTCTCGAGAATGTACCGGTCTTTATGGAGGCCGATTTGACCTGTTTGGCGAGGTGAATGTGATTGCGGTTCAAAAATGTACATATTATGTGTAAGTGATTGTGTCTCTGTGGATGGTTTAATGTCTGTGATTCTTTCGTGTGTCCATAGCTTTCCGAATACACAACAAGTTGATTATCTTAAGTGTTCGGATTAAACGGTCTCAAATGTGTACTTCTAAGCTACTTCAGTGTTGTGCACTTTGCACCGTGAACCTTTTAGAGGAGTCGCTGTTCCTCATGGCCTTTCGCAATCCTTTCCCCCCCCCTTTTTTGAACCTGTAAAAAGGAGCGATGACCTTGAGATATCGTCAGTGAACTGACCGCCCCCAGGCAAATCCAAATGATGTTTCTTGTGGCCTCTGGAGTCTGCTCCTCCCCAAGCAAATGGCTCTCTGATGAACAGTCCATGTTTTCTCCGTAGGATGCGATGGTAGTCAAAGCTGCTTCTGTCAAGTGTAGAGCAAAAAGGTTGTTAGCACACGAGCACTGGGGCCCCACTGCAGCACTCCCCAACGTCTTGAATTGAGAACGTATCTTTCAGTACAACGAGGCACGGTACACCGGCCATAATTTTTGTGTCTGAAATGTGTGCTCATCATGTCATATTCTTGTATTTTTTTTTTGGGTGGGGTTTACCGGTTATGGATGTGGTCACTTCCAGACTTTCATTCATGCTTCTGCTTGAATTCCTTTGTTGCAGTGAGAGGAATTGACACAACTTTGACAGTAAGCTACCGTCTTCACCCGAATAGAACGGCCGGTCATTATTGCCGTATCTGGGCTGAAAGTTGTGCCAAACACAGCTATTATAATGACCGGGCGTTTTATTCGGGTGAAGACGGTAGCCTGTTTTGATTGTTAGAGAACGCAAAAGGAACATCGGGGTGTTGAAATGTGTTTTCTTGCATGCTCTAGGATGAGCRGTGAAATTCTCARTGAGAGGGATGGGTTTGWTGTTTGATTGATGTTTACRASTTTTGCGAGTTTTTCTTTTTCGCCCTTTCGAAATTAAAGAAAATGTCGAATATGTGTTTTAATTTTTAAATGGTAATGTGAAACATGCGTTCGCTGTTCTTAGTGCCTTACAGTTCCTTGAATCGAATTGGTTTGTGCCCCCCTCTGCTTTACACGTTGCACACACAGGGAGTGGTGGTACACCTGCAATGACCCACAGCTATGTCAACAACTTAGGGGGCACTGCTTATCAGCGACAAAGGTCACTATTACGATCGTCCATTGCACTCGCGCTTGATCCCCCCCTCTCCATCTTTCTGTCCTGTCCATCTGCCTCTATTTTTTGCTCTCTTTTCTCCCCGTCTCCATGCTGTCTTCTCTGGACACCTTATCTTTCCTTCCCGACATCTCTAATCACCCACACCCTTCAAAACAGTGTCTGTTTGTTTCAGCTTTTGATGAATCTGTGATGGTCGTGCCATTTGTGTTCTTGTGCAATGTGTCCTTGATGTTTCTGGATGTGGGCGCCTTTCCTGTTTTGCCAGTCAGGTTTTGATTTCGTGAATTCTTAATTTGTTTGCATTTCTGTGGGATAGGGTGCATGCATGCGCTGTTGGATTTGCGTTCTCTCACTGTCTCGCAGCGGGGGCTGATGTGCCGTTTGGCCTTGTTGGCTGTGTTTGTGTTCTTATCCCAGTAGCAGCCTAGGAGGTTCCGCTTACAGTCGAGGAGAAGTGGTGGTTATTCCTGCCGGGGGAATGGTGGTAAGCTCTCAACCTCTTTCTGATGAAAAGTATCTCCTTGTGCAATCTTTGTGTCAGAAACTTAGTATCTCCTTGTGCAATCTTTGTGTCAGAAACTTAGTATCTCCTTGTGCAATCTTTGTGTCAGAAACTTAGTTTGAACTTTGAACACTGTTTAAAATATCGATCTTAGTCGCAGCTAGAGGCCTATACAAGTTTCTCTTTTGTGTGTGCTATTCTTTTTCAGATAACA